ATAAAACATGCTTGTTTTACGTCGTAAGCTCGACGCTTGTTATTTAAGAATGTTCCTCCAAGTTGCTTCCACCTGGTTATTCCTAACCAACACACAAGCAAACCTGAAAGGATACAAACAATGATATAACAAATTTATAAGTATAGTAAACATATACAAATATCAATATACACAAGTAAAAATAGACAATATATATGATATCTACAAAACTAAAAAAAAGAATTATCGCAATGCGAAAACAATAGAACCAATCCCCGGCAACGACGTCATTTTGTTGTTGCGGTATATAGCGGCAAGAAAAAAGTAAAGTATTATTTTACCGGATGATATTTAGGTTATATCGTATCGTGTCCACAAAGATTGGTTATTGATTCGATGTTCGACAAATCATTCGTTAATGAGTTTGGGGTTTGAATGGTATAGAAAAGTATTAACAGAAAATAAATGTAAACAAAAGAAAAAAACTAAGGAAGAACTTATCAAGCCTGCATATAATCTACTCATCACAGAATTAAATATATCGACCAGTTACATTCAACCTAACAATACTCATCAATGTCACTATGTATCACTCATAACCTAAGTCATTTCTAACCCAAATCGAGAGACCGATTGTATCACCAAAGAAAGTATCTATCTACCTCCTCAACAACACAGAAGATAACCATGCTCGCTTGCATCGATGATCTCTCTGAGCGACACAAACAACACAGAGGCATTAAGCTTTGATACCCAAGTAGATGTCAGCTCTAAATCTATCTCTAAAGTTCATAAACTAACAGATAATCATCCTAGATTAGAATCTAAGCAGTATATGTCTATAACAACTCAAATTCCTAACATAGAAAAAATCTAAAACAACCATCCACAAAGATTTGTAAAGCAAGTTTAATATAATGCCATGGGCGACAAATATACATAAGTTCAAAGTAAATATACATACAAAACCCAACAAAAGAGAAATACATAGAGAGGAGAAGAGATAAACCACAAATCTTCCGATTTGTCAGAGCCGATCGATGAGCAATCCACCCCGGATCATCCATATGCAAGCCCTAGTGTTATTTTTGCTTACAAGTTACAAAATGCACCTCGGGCTTACTGGGTCTGAACAATATCTGAATTCAGACCCTGACTTTTCACACCCTACCTTTTTTACTAGTCAACTTAAAATGCACCCCGTGAAACTAACTCAATTTTTTTTCTAATTTTCTTTTATTATTATTTTCTTTTTTCTTTATTGTAAATTCTTATTATTTATTTTATTTATTCATATATTTTCCTTTCTTTAAATATAATAAATATTATTTTCAATATTAGAATATTATTATTTATTATTATCATTTAAATATTTTCATCAAAATTCATGCCTATATTATTATTACTTTTGCATTAAAATTTTAATCATGCATTAATTAAGAATTTTTGCAATTAATATGATTAAAATATCTAACAAACATTAAATCTAATTTTCGCAATAAACTAATCTAAACAAACAATTTTTGCTAAAGGGTTCCAAATATATTTTGACTAATCGCGTATTTAGTCCAAAATTTCGCCATTTCTACACCCGGTCAAAATGCGAGACAATTCAAAATACTTTTGTAACCCCTAAAAAACACAAACCCATACGAACTACGAATTGGGACTCTGATTCTTCATAAGAGGATACGTAGGCATACGACTAAAATCGTGGCAAGTTCCCCTATTAAAAATTAAAAACCCTTTGTACATAATTGTTAAACCTAAACCCCCTAAACCTAGTATGCTTACGAATAAGATAGATGAAAGGTGCCTAACACCTTCCTTTCGTCTAAAGAAGTCCGAAACTTAGAATCTCTGTTTTGAAAACTAGGGTTCTCTATTAGATTCTCTTCCTTAGGATAAAAACTAGTAGTGACGACTCTATATTTAAATCCAGTTGTAACAATTAGCGAGCACACCATTCCTCTTCCAGCCATTGCTCTGCTCATATGACAACATCAAACAACAGTTAGACAAAAAAACATCGACAATATTCTATTGTCACACTATACTAACGACTCAACAACCTGGCCAGACGGATCAACCTGCTCTAATACCAATTGTAACACCTTATTTTTCCGTCAGTAATTTATAAAATAATCAGAGTAAATTAATTTCTAAATAAACATCAATCAAATAGGATGTCACATACTTGCCAATCACACATGCTCAAAATAAGGATACACAACACAAACCGTGTATTCAAAAGTATTAAACGTTAATGCATTTATTTGCAGTGGAAAACATCAATAAATAGTCATTTCGATCCTCCAACCAGAGTTATAATTATTATCCTTCACACATCAGCATAATCATAAAACAATTCAAATAATGGAGTAATACATGTTCACTCATAATCATAACAAAACAAATCACATGAAACCCCAAAGTGTAACGTATCATAGTAGACACCGACTCAATCTACGCAACTGGAGGAACTCCTCAACTAACCTTCGATCTCTAGCTACTTCGGGTCATCTACATGTTACCCACGTGGAGGTAACATTCAAACAGAAAGGGTGAGATATCATAACAATGTAAGAGAAAGCATAATAATAATAAGCAGGTAAGATTCAAGCACATAACATACATCATAATATAACACACACTTTCATCAATCTTCGCCCATCGGTTTATCAATCACAATATGATGCAAATTACTGACACTAATGCAATGCATGTGGTACCAATCAGGGCAGAACCTCTTCACAATAATGTCAATTTAGGGCAATCAACTTCGCTCGCTAATACAAGCCTTCACTCGCCAATATAGGCCTTCACTTTATGAATGCATGAGACACTATCATGCTACAATATACTTCACATCTATCATTAATACTCATCACAATGTCGCCAATACAGGCCTTTGTCATCGCCTTCGTCATGTATCTCGTATCACATAATCAAAACAATCATCACAAATTGAAACAACTGGCAGAAATCATCAAAGATAAAATTCATTGAAGTCGCCATCGAACGTCTTTTATCCACCAAGACTGGCCCGAAATGGCATTTTTGATATTTCGGACTGGAACCAAGGGTTTTGCACTATGTGAGACAGTTTCTACGACAAAATAAGGGACCATTTTGGCACACGAAGAATTCAGACGATTGAAGATTGAAGTTTATGCAATTGTTGGAGACGAAGACTTTCATGAGCGGAAGCAATTGAAATCAAAGTTCACCATCAATTTGTAATGTCTATCTTCATTGTATTTGAAATTCTTTCGAACAATATTTTGAGTAGCTAAACCCCCCAATGCTAGGGGGTGTCCCTGTTTTGCAATTGTAATGATTTTGAATTCTTGATTTTAATACAATAGTTTCTTTTCAATTTAATCGTTCAATGTTCTAAGGCTTTCCTTACCGTACAAATAGGGATTGATTCACGGTTAACAATTAAGGCTGGACTGCCGTTGTTAAGGTTTTTGTACGATTAAATTATAGTAGATATCACCTAGGACTAGGGTTACCCTATAGTTACCGATAAAATTTTGATAAAATAAATGCTTGATTTCATCATAATTCTCTAAGAACCTAGATATTAGGATGAATGACCAAAAGTTTCCCACTAAGGACTTAGGGGAAAACATACTAAAGATCTGATAATTGAAGGTTATGAACTTGTTGAAAAAAATCAAGTGTCAAGATTATTACAAGGCAAATCACACACCTTACCCTAACATTTGTTCATACTTGTGAAAAAACCAAATTTTACATTCTGCTTATTTTAATTATTGTTAAGGATAAAATTCAAAACCAAACCAAAAGTTAAGTTTTTGTTTAATTGAACAACAATTCAACTCAATATTTCTACGCAATCCTTGAGATCGACATTCCAAAAATTTCTCCATTATTATTGCATATGCAATATAGTACACTTGCTATTTTTCCAATCAGCTAACCAAGCAGTGGTTAAAACTTAGGGTAGGTGATAATTGCCTTATTCATCATACCTTTCTTAGAACTTCAACTAAGATGATTGGTATTTTAGTACTGACTATTTCAGACACTTGACTGCAATAAAAGTGTTTCTGGTGATTTATTTAAGTGTCATTCTAATCAACCGTTCCTTTTGTTGTTGATGCTAAAAGAGGAGTTTAAGGAAATTAGGTATCTAAAGAATATATAACGGAGTATCTAAGTTTTGATAATGATCTTCTCACTAAAAGACTGATGACTATTGTGTCAAAGGTAAATCAAATATATGATCAAGATCTAAAAGTATATTTCATCGAGAAATAATATTTTGTCTCTACAGAAATGTATGAAGATCTTTTGAACAACCACCAAGACACATACTTCCATTAGCAAGGAGATTTGAAATTTTCTGTTGCAAGTTTGACCAAACCCAATAAGTCAAACCGGCCCTGCATAATCTAGCTAACACTAGCAAAATCATTGAAGTAAAATAAAATGTTCTCACACGACATGTTAAATTGTTAACTAGTTTACATAAATGATTGGACCCTTTTTTCATAATGGAAATAAAGTTGAAGAAAAAAAAAACGCTCCGACTGCGCATGTTGTGATCAATTGTCCATTCAATTAAAAAAATAAAATATTAAACAACTAGTGTATATTATTAGATTAAAAATGAATGAGATTTCTTACTCTCTCTTTTGTTTGTTTACAGATGGCTTACTATTTATGTTCCAAAAATAATTATGCAATAAAATACTTTGCAATTGCATTGAAGATGTGCTTAATTATTCTCGGCAGCATTCAAATAAATAAAATAATACATAAAATCAATTTCCACAATTATTTGATAAATCAACTTACAGAAATACTTCAATAAAAAATAGAAACAGACAAGGAAGAAGAAACTTGAAAGCCGACGACTTCACAAGAGTCCAAAGCTCAAAGTCTTCTCTTCCTCTTATCTACAGTCTTCTTCATTGGTTCCCCTCCCTAGTTCTAAGAATTGCAGTCATTAATATTATCCTATAGCTTCAAAAATATCATCAACACCCATGGCAACTCAACACTCTCTACTTTTACTTACTTTTCTTCTTCAATTCTCATCACTGCAATTTCCCTCACTCGGATTATACAATCTCCAAAAGACATACTTCATCAACTGTGGATCAGATACCGACGTTGAACAAAATAACAATAATTATATTGGTGAATCAGATCCTAATTACCCTGAAAAATTATTCGGCATAAGCTCCACAATGACTTCTCAATCATCTGTACCTTCAACTCTGTACCAAACAGCAAGAATTTTCAATTCTGAATCTTCCTACGAATTCACTACCATCCCAAACAACACTTACATGGTACGTTTACATTTCCTTTCATTCTCTTCACCAACTAACCTTTCCTCTGCTAAATTCAGCGTTTCTGTTCCCGGTTTCCATCTGTTACAAAATTTCGACGCCAAAAACACCACAAATTCTCCTTTAATAAAAGAGTATTTTGTCAAAATCATCCGAAAAAGATTCAAAATAATTTTCACACCTCAAAACTCATCATTCGCGTTTGTTAATGCAATAGAACTCTTTACGCTCCCTATTCATTTTATCCCCGATTTAGTTGCACGTTTCAGTTACTTGAGTTCTACCGGTCGAGGCCTATCTACTTATACTGGTGATTTACTCTCTCGAGCGCTGGAAACTAAACACCGTCTTAACGTTGGTGGCGAAACTGTCACTAGATTAACCGATGACTTATCCAGAAATTGGTTACCTGATGACAATTATATAACTACTCCACAGAATGCTAAGAATATTTCATTTAGCGGTAATATTAAACGCACTGCGAATGATGAATCTGATGGTCCAAATTCAAATCAATATATTGCTCCAGATACTGTTTATCAATTTGCCAAAGAGACTAAAAATGGTTCTAACGGTTTAAGCATAAGTTGGAGTTTTCCTGTGGACAAGAATATTGATCATTTCATTAGGCTTCACTTTTGTGACTTTTCAAATCTACAGCCTGGTCTTACCACTTTCTTTCTCTACTTTTATGACACATATGTTCAAAATGTAAATGATGATGGCACAGGTATATCACTTCAGTTGAATGATCCTTATTATTATGATTTTGTGGTTCGCTCCGATGCCTCTGGCATATTCAAGGTTACTCTAACACCTAATGTGACTTTTAGTCTACCGAGCGCATTCTTAAACGGCCTAGAACTAATGAAACTGATTGAACCATCGGGTTTAGTTCCTTTTGATGATTTGGATTCGAATTCGAAGGTTAATCTTCCTGTGGTGGTGGGTTCGGCCGTGGGAGGTTTAGTTCTGGTTTTTGTTGTGGTGGTTATGTTACTTTGGATTAGAAAAATCAGGAAACAAAGGCCCGTGGAGAATTCCAGTTGGTTGCCCGTTCGAGCGGCTGCGGGATGGAGTAATCATAGCAGATTAACTGATGGAACAACAACTCAAGGCTCACCTCTGCGTAATATAAATCTTGGATTGAAAATCTCCTTGCATGATCTTCAACTTGCAACGGAGAATTTCAAAGCAGAGAGGATAATTGGAAAGGGTGGTTTTGGAAATGTTTATAAGGGAGTTCTCGAGAATGGAAAGAGTGTGGCAGTGAAAAGAAGTGAACCAGGATCAGGTCAAGGACTTCCTGAATTTCAAGCTGAGATAATGGTTTTGTCCAAAATTCGTCACAGACACCTTGTTTCCTTAATAGGGTATTGTGATGAAAGGTTTGAGATGATACTTGTTTACGAGTACATGGAAAAAGGGACACTTAGAGACAATTTGTACGGTACAAATTTGCCTAGTATTTTGAGTTGGAAGCAAAGGCTTGAGATTTGTATTGGTGCTGCTAGAGGTCTTCATTATCTTCACAAAGGAGCTACTGGTGGAATCATTCACCGTGATGTGAAATCCACAAACATATTGCTTGATGAGAATCTTGTTGCTAAAGTTGCTGATTTTGGTCTTTCAAGAACTGGTCCTCTTGATCAGCATTCTTATGTCAGCACAGGTGTTAAAGGAACTTTTGGTTATCTCGACCCAGAGTACTTTAGATCACAACAACTTACAGAAAAATCTGATGTTTATTCATTCGGCGTGGTTCTACTTGAAGTGTTGTGCGCAAGACCAGCCCTTGATCCCACGCTTCCAAGGGAACAGGTGAACTTGGCTGAGTGGGGAGTTTTTTGCAAAGACAAAGGGATATTGGAAGATATAATTGATCCTACCATTAAGGGACAGATTGATCAAAACTCACTAAGAAAATTTAGTGAGGCATTTGAAAAATGCTTACAAGATGATGGCAGTGATAGGCCTTCAATGGGCGATGTATTGTGGGACTTGGAATATGCTTTGCAGCTTCAGAGAGGTACAATACAGAGAGAACCTCATGAGGATAGTTCCAGCAGTGCTTCTGTATCAATTCAGCTGCCAAATGTTCGCCGTTTTCCTTCGCTGTCTACACTGAGTGAAATTGATGACATGTCTATTGGGAGGATTACTGATGAATCAGTTAATGCAGAGGATTCTGTTTTCTCTCAGTTGAATATTGGTGATGCTAGATAGTACTTTTCTGTTTTGTCCTTGTTTACTTGCATTTTTTTCGTCCTTAGTTACGGTAGTTGGTGTATTCTCAATTGTAAGATATATTAGTATGATGCCTATTATTTATGATGCTTGTAATAAATTAATGGTAATTAGGTGAGTTATATATTTATATACAACACTTATTTGAAAGCCTGCACCAATTTATATACTCCATATTCTGGTCAACAATGCTATATACCAGTACATAATCATATAATATGAGTTATTGCTTAAGATTAAGCCCAATTAAAAGCCATCTAATATTTCTGGTGTTTAATATTGACTCATATTTTTGTTGAGACAAGACCTTATTATTGACTTGGAAACAGAATATTGAGTTATCTCACAAGAGCTGCTCAACTACCTTGTTGAAGTTTGGTAACCAACTACAAGCATAGTAACTATTTTTCTCCTTAAGAACAGAAAATTGGCCATGACAGTTCAGTTAATTATTTGCTTCACACTTCATTTGAGATCAAACTATATCGTATCATTGTCATGATCATGCAATTTTATTGTTACTACGAGATACATCTGTGTCATGAAACTTACATTGTTTACCGATTCAATTAGGACAGTAAGCCTCTGAGTAACAATTAGGATACTAAATCAATAGACACAAATAGCTTCTATTCAATCAGGAGAGTAACACATTAGTTTTATGCTTCCATGATTTAGAATCATAAGTTTGAGTTTCAATGCTAGAACATACTAGTGTCTAATATATTCTAAACTTAAACATTATTATACAATGTGCAACTTTCGATCCTTTTCAATATGATTCTGTTAACAATCAACACCTGAATACCTTATAGACATAACTTACACTTCCCATATATATATAGTTTACTTTACATGTACAATTAAGCTTGGTTATATGAATCAAACCATAAGCAAGAAAGTAAAATTCAAAGCAGTAACAAGCTAATCATTAACTGAAACATTATATGTTAGTGACCTGAACCTCTACTGCTTGGTCCAGAAGTCATGGTATGAAATTGGCTATCGACCAAAATCCTGTTTCTCATCATCTTATACTCGGTGTTGACCTTCTCGGTTGTCATTGAAGCTATGAGATGGTGAAGTTCTTTGATAGGTTCATGAGTGGTTTTTTCTGTCTTTGTTGGTGATTGAAGGATTCTAGAGCTTACAAAGCAAGGCCTAGTAGCAGCAAAAACCGCGAAGAAGATTAGAACTAAAACATAGAACTTCATTTTTTGGGTGCAACTTCAAGGTAGGCTTCAAGCAACCTTGAAGTACCTTGAAGTGTTTTATTGACCCAAAGGGTGAAGCTAAAATGATTGGTTTGGCATCTTGTGATGGGCAAGGCAAGTCATGAGAAGAGGGGAAGAGGCTTTAACATATTAAGGAAGAGGAGGGAAGGGGAAAATGGACGGTTAAGGGCTAATGCAATTTGTGTGGGGCCTATTGAAACGAGTTGTTGACTGAAACTGTTTTTCTGTTATGCAAGTAGGTCAATTCTATTCAAGTTCTGATAGAGTCACAGAATCTCAAAGTTTTTACTTTTGTTGGAAAAGTCTATGTTGTGTTATGTAAATGTGAGAAGTAGAGATAAGAAATGGATTTTTATATAGACTATAAAGCTAGACTAAACTTTTAAAAAATCAAACCACACAAAAATAAACTTATAATTGGTTATTGACCAAACTCAAACCTTAAAAATGTATCAACGAGGAGATTCATACATCTTTCATCTAAAGATTAATGTAATGTAAAAAATTATTTACTTAGTTAAATATCATGATTTTACGCCGTGCTATAATTTATTTTGGAAAGCCCCAATAATTGTATTACAGTTTGGTTGGATTTGGTAGAGTTTTGAGGAACGACAGATCTTGATGTTAGATTAATGATGAAGATAGTTTCATCCTTAAGGAAGAAAATGTTGTGATGTGTGAGTGTAAGTTAGAAGTCTTATATTATAATTTTTATGTGTGAAACTCATATACTTAATATCGATTGATTGATGCTGGAGATCAATCTCAGAGTTCACTTGTTCGGTCTCATTTAATAAAAATTACTTTTTACTTTAAAGTAGTTTTAAGAATTGGAGCAAATGTATAGAACTATTAAGAATTGAATATATTTCTTAGTGGGAATTCTATCATGTTTAAAAAGAATTATAAATATATATTTACCCTTGAGTTTCTTAGTCTAAAAGAGAATTGTCTTTTTGACAGAATATGGTTAAGATTAGGAAATACCAAGGGTCCATGTCTTTCCCAAGTTTCTGGTGCATACACATTTAGCATTGAAAGTGAGTAGCAAGATGTGGAAGTGGAGTTGGAATCAACAGCATGCTAGCTAAGGTGGTGATTAACCAACGGAGTTTTGGCACTAGTTAACAACATCCTCACAAATTGCACTTAAAAGATCAAGATTCTCTAATTTATAAATTCTATGGATAGAAAAATAATTGAATGAATTTGTGCTATTCAAAAGGGTTATACTGCTTCACATGGGTTTTCTAGGAAATTGTAAAGAAAATTCTTTTTATCAAGTTAAGAAAAAAAATGTGTAAAGTATCTTCAGTTATAGAACAATTGACCTATGTAAGTGTGTCCGGATCAATGGAGAGATCAGAGATGGGAGGTGTGTGTGCCCTTAATTATTTTATTCCTTTTGCTCACTTTTTGCAATTGATGGACGACATAGGGTGGATCATAGTTCAAGATAGCTAGAATCTTCAATTGGTGGTTTCTAATATTATTATAAAAAAATATATGCAAGGGTGTGGACTTGAAGAATTTGGTCTACTTGAAAAGGAAATGGGATATCTGCCCTTGTGATGCATGGAAGAAAAAAAATTAAAATGTCATGTTGAAGAATAATATTTTTGTTACTTTTGAAAAAATTAATAAATCTAATTTAGCAATATAGAAATAATATCACAATCTTTTTTACACATCTATTTATTTCTATTATGTATTATAAATATATAAACATAAAATTTTCTCGCAATGACATTATAAGTCTTTTGATTAAAAACTATAACTAATCTAATTATAAAAGGTATTATTGTCTTTTTGAACTTTGTTATTTTTATATTCATTTGGTATTTAATACGGATGATGTGACAGCATCAAAATTTTTGTTGTATTTTATTTTATTTTTTTCAATAATTAACTAAATGTAAAGATTCCTTGCATTTATAATAGACATGCTATCGCTACGAAACGGAAAAAGTAGTCGAAATTTTTTGAACTTCCCACTGAGAAGGCACACAAAATTCAAGTGCATCCATCCTTTCCCAAGATTCATTCAACCAATTTTTCTTCTGAAAAATCCCATTGAAAGTCTATAAAATAAAGAGAAATTGGAACTTAGACTCAAGTCCTTTTTCCTTCCGAGTTCATAAATCCATCTCCATACCCAAATCAATTTTCTCTCTTAATCAATTTTTCTATATTTCGTTTTCGCCTTTTCATTTCACCTAAGAACCCTAATCATAAGTCGATTCTGATTTTCACCTCAAAATCAAAATCAAAATCGACTATGACATATTATCAAATTCAATTTTGATTTTCTCCAGAAAACCCAAATTGATATCTACCCTCACAACCTAAATCAATTCCGACTTCACTACGAAAATTGATTTCTACTTCATATTATTATTGCTTTTCGTTACCCATTTGTTCCATTTTCAAACACAAATTGATAACTCAAATTGATTTTGTCGGCAAATGGTAAGAAACATAAATCATTCTTATTTTTTCTTCAAAATTGCCGAGAATCCTTCACCCTTCTTTTTGTTATCCATTATCTAAACCAGTAAGAAACGAAACCCTCTGATTTTCGGTTTATAAATTTATAACATTTTTGTTGATGATTTATGATTATCTTAGTTTCCCTTTAAATATGATGTTGTAGGTTGCAGAAGCCGATGAAAAAACTGCTGGTGGTTGATTGATCAGGAAAACACACATTTGCATTGTGAGTATCTCAACATTGATTTGTTCAAGTAGTTTTAGTGAGATTACGTTATAATATTTCTGCTATGTTTTGGATGTTATTGGTGATAGCAGTTGGTGGAATGGAACTGATAGGAAGGATGAAGCTACATAAACGATTTTCTTCATAATGTTGCGTCTAAAAGTGTTTCGTCATTCCACCCATAAAATCGTTATTGTGAATTTTTAGGGAATTTGAAATTTAAAGCGTTTCTTTTGGTATGTGAATTTGAAGTCTGTTTTGATAAGTTTGGATGGATGTTGAAATTTAAGCATGTTATTTAAGGTGTGAAATTTAACTCTTATATTTAGTATGTTTCAGTAGTATGTATCAGTAGTATATTTCTAAAATATAAGTATTATGTTTTATATGCATCAATATTGTTGTTTAATTTACTATGAGTATAACTTCACCACTGGTACAATGGTGTATGTGATTATGGTGTAACATGGATGGTTGAGATTAAAATTGAGACTGGAAGCGTAGAGGTCGACGATATGGAATCCACGTGTCTGCATTGATCCGTTGATATTGCAGAATATGGAGGTGACCCTAACAGGTACATAGATTCTCTTTTTCCCTTTCTCTGAAGTTAATGGATTCTATGCATCACCGGTTATCACTTTTCATGTTTTTTCGCCTGCGCAGAACTTACATAATGGGATAATCACCTGGAGCACATGTTGTGGCATGTACAATTTTGGAGCAGGCAGTCAAAGAGGCTGGTGTTAAGCAAGCAGATTCCAAAGGTGTAGTGTCCTCGCCAACGTAACGGTATAGATTGTGGCTATTTTATGTTGAGATTTATGAAAGAAACTATTCTTTTGGATCGATTAGAGATTCCATCCACGGTATGGATTTCTAACTTAGGAATTACATACTATTTTCATATTTTGTGTTTCTCATAAAATGACATATTGTTTTAACTAAATCACATACTATGTTATATTATTATATATGCAGTACTTTGAGGAACTCAATTGTGCACATTACTCAAAAGATCAATTGGATGAACTTATGGAGGAATGGTATCAATTCATTATCGGGTTGAGAATTTTATAAGCTAAGGTATATTGTCTTATTTCCTTTGATGAGAACTTTCGAGTTTTGAGTATAAATTAAATTCAAATAAAGTGCAACGTTAATATTATCATGTTATGAATTTCGATCATTTGGTTTTTTTTTCCCAGATTTATAGGTACATGTGTAGAAGATAGAGCTAAAATATTCATGTTGTTGTTGCTTCATGAGAATTCTCGAACGAAGATAGAAAAGATGTATAGATGTAAATTCTATTTTGAATTTTAGGCATTTTAACTTGTAGAATTTTAACTTGTATCATAAATTTTGTAATTGTTATTGTATATATCATTAATTTATATATATGTGCAATTTTTATATATGTATATTTTATTGGAATGAAGCTACCAAATATGGTGCATAATATGGTGAAAACCTGGATCAAATATGGTTAAAATTCTGATTAAAATGCATTATATATATTGGACAGTGCTTTTGTAAGTCAAAATAGATAATTTATTTAAAAAAATGTGAACAATAGACAACGCTTTAGGAGAAAAGCGCTGTAAAAACTTTTAAAAAAAAGTGCTGCCTAAAGTCTGAAAGCGCTGTCTAAAGTGGGGCAATAGACAGCGCTTTCAAAGGAAAGCGCTGTCTAAAGCCTATCTTAAAAAAATAACAAAGCGTTGTCTAAAGCCTATCTTAAAAAAATAACAAAGCGTTGTCTAAAGCAGAAGCGCTGCTAAAGGGGTATATAAAAAAGCGTTGTCTATTCTAAAAGCGCTGTCTAAAGTTGGCATAAGACAACGCTTTTACATTGAAAAAAAGCGCTGTCTTTTCTTTTAGCAGCGCTGCTTTAGGCAGCGCTTTAAAGCGCTGTTAAAAGCCTAAAAAAGCGCTGTCTTTTCCCTTTTTTGTAGTAGTGATTGTTTAATACATCTTCGAATTTGACAGCATTCTTAAATCTACTAAAAGAAATATTTTTTCAAACAAGTAACCTCATAGTACGCTATTATTATCAAGCATACTATTTATTACCAAACATATTAAATTTTATATAAATTTAAAATTATTATTATTAGTTACTTTTTTTTATTTAAATTTTGTTATATTTTTATTTAAAATTATTCAATGAAATATCAAATAATTTAAAATATTTAAATTTTATAAATTTTATAAAGTTAAACTTCTATTATGAAATCCCCCTAGACAAAAAGATAGA